TGTCAAATCTGAAGTGATCTTGGCTTCTTTTAAGCTGTCTTCTCCACAGTTAACACTAATAATAACTCTCTGTTATTATAAATGGTTGTCAATTAACAGGGAGGGAACATCTGATAGTTCAGCATATTCCCAGCCATTGGTTTTATTACGGTATTTAATGTTTATGATGCAGAAGTTGAATTTTCCTCAAATCTTGTGATAAAACCATCCCAGTTCATGACTTTGTAAGTGTCTAATTAATGGTGCAAAGAAAATGTTTAAGAGCAGATGTTTATGACTTTCATGAATTTACAAACTCAGGTCTTTTGCAGCCTTCTTTCCATCAGTGAGTTGCAGACGTCAGCAATGTCTAAATACAGCTCCAGGGACCAGCATGATACAGTGTGAGAGCAGCTAAGAGGAACTGGTAGAACCCTGTGAGAGAAGCTGTGCAGTCACCCTTGATTTCAAACCCAGCTGCATCCATCCATCCATCAGCAACAACATGACACCGTGCATCAGCACAGCAAATAAAAGCAAGCGAGCTCAATGATCTCACCAGCTTCTGACCCCCAAACAATGTGTAAGAGGAAGATTGTTCTTCATTACAACTGGGAGTAAAAGCAGGTACCATCTTCAAAATCCTACTTCTTTCATGGGCCTTTATCCTGCTGGTCTCTGAATTATTTCAGATACTGAAAATAAGCACTGCACACTTAACTGAGCTGTCTACATACAGGAGTGCTCTATTGTACAACTGATTCACTTGGCAAAGTGTCTGGAAATGGTATTCTGTTGTCTTCCTTGCCCCAGTACTGCACTTAGCAGGAATACATACATATGAATCCTTTCTCCACCTTTTTAAACTTTAATTTTACACAGTTGACAGGATCTTGGCTGAAGCTTTTGTCTTTGGCATGAGGGAATAGCTGGGGCTGACTTCATTGTTGAAGCAAACACACAACAAATCAACACTCTGAATCTAGGGTAGAAAAATGGTGTCAATGTAAGTACATCCACTTATTCCACAGTCATATCTGGCACTCAGCTAATGAGTCTGGACAGTGGAAATAACCTTGAAATGCAGTATATATGCAGCTGAAACATGATTTATTGACAGTTCACCACCACGTGGCAAGTCCTTTGCTAGGGCTTACATTTTCAAAATTAAATGTGTGCACATCAACTTACTAAACTGCCATTAAACTGATGCAAAGGGGGTTCAGAGGAGATGTCATAGAGCTTTTGAAAGACAAAAACCTCATACAAAGCTGATGGCTTGACTGCTTTTAAATTCAGCTATTTCCAATGCAGCAGCAAAGTAAAATTACTCTATTTGAGAGATTTTATCTTCTTTTTAGTCATCAGTCTTTACTGGGGAAAAAAATGTGTCTTTCTGTTTCTTTTTCTTAACCAGAACTGCATTAAAAAAAGATTAATATGCTGTTAAGTGGAGTCAATGAACTTCTGAGTAGCAGCTGATTTTACTATGCATGTGAGGAGCTTTTACTTAAATACATTAGTCTCTCATTCCAGCCGTGGCTAATTAGTGGTGGCATTTATCACGATAGGTGATCTAAATGCGATTCATGCTGCAAAGGAAACAGAACAGATGAATTGGACCCAAAACTCCCTGAAGAAATAGGTGGTGTGCCAAAAAAAACCCCACCAGGAAACCCCCAAATGTTATCTGGCTGCATAAAACGTCCATCAGAAATACCTCTGTTTTCTTTGTGAGCCATCTGAACAGATAATGAAAGTGCAATTACATGCAGAGATTCAAAACTGCTTGTATCTGTGTATTTGATGCTGTCTCTTCAAATGTCATCTGCCAAGGGGCTGCTGAAATGTGGTTGTCTCAGCAGGATGCTCTGGGAACTGGGAAATCTTTTTCACTGCTGCAGAAGACTGACAGGGGGAACAAAACCTCTGTGCTATGAAAAGCTTTTCCATGATGATGGGAAAGACAGTCCCTTATCCACACATCCTCTTCTCCTGGCTGCAGGTTCCCCCAGTGTCTGTCCATTGGAGCCAGCAGGAACACAGCAAAGATACCAGAGAATGATGCCAACACAGACCTGGGCTGCTAGTAGGAGAACGAGAATTTCAAAGAAAGGAAAATGTTGCAGAATATCAATTAGCTGTGTAATTAAAACTGCAATGAGAGGAACATCTATTTCCTAACATAGCTGACTTTTGGAAACTGTTTCTTCTTTTCCTCAGTTTTTGCAAGGGAAGAGAATAAATTATGCTGGCTCTCTCTTGCATTGTAATTTCTTGAGAGAATTAAGGTTAGAAAGTGACTGGACAAGTGAGCAACGTTCAGAAATGGTATGTCAGTACTTTAGTAATAAAATTTGCAGAACTCCTCAAATCAGCAAATGCTGTAGCACAGAGCTACCAGGGAACTGTGCCATCAGCTTGGAAATCTGTGCAGTGAACAGTCAGAATTCACAGAAGAGCAGCACTAAGTGTCAAGAATTATTAGTTTTGGAGAGATTAAGAACTACAAAGTACAATCTGATTTCTTGCAGTGAAAGAGGTAAGAGTACTGCTGCAACTTCAAGAGCTGGCAAAGCCACAGAGGGCACATTTTAACACTTATTTGCAAGCGTTTGTGCCATAAAATCTATTCCTTTGTGAAAATGGGAAGGATTTCCTCTGATATTGTGTACTTCTCTTCCTTCTGCACTGCAAAGGTCATTGGCATGGCAACAAAATCTTCATTTCTCAAGAGTCCATCTGCTGCTGGCACATCCGCCTCAACTGAGCTCACATCATTCCTTTTTGATGACATCCTACTTGGCTGTTGTCTTGCCTGTCGTCACAGGCACACAATCCCAATTTCAGGTGAAGAATTAGCAGCAGCAGCAGCAGATGCACTTCTGAGCAACGAACAGACTATTCCCTGAGATCAGGAGGAAAGAAATATACGAGAGAAATCCTGCCAGGCAGTGATTTCTTTTAGTAAATGTTACATTCCATGATTTCTATAAAACATCAGCAGCTGATCAAAAGAATTGCTTTCCTGTAATCTGAATCTTGTAACAATTCACACACTGAAATATCCTGTACGCTAACTCTCACATGTTTATATTTTTGACAGGATCAACCTCTTAAATATTGATTAAGATTCAGCAACTGTACACCATTCCTCTTTGAAATACTGCTAACTGCAATCATGCTAAACACTATAATGCCATCAACCATGTAAGTCTCTTCAATATTTTTCTAACACGTAGTATTAATCATCTGGTTTAATCAGTAACTCATCATGAATCAATGTTCACAGTAAACTGGAGACTGAAGGCAAATAATCATTCCTTTATTTATGGGACACTCGAATAGGTGTAATTCCAGAATGAAAAATGACCCTGGGATCTGTTCTCTGTAACATGGGCAGCCACAAGAATTACACCAGCTTTGAAGGCAATTTACACACCGTGGTGGATCTCAGTGACAGACAACTGTCAGCTGAAGTACAGCATCCTCTAAAAGAGGAAAAGGATAAAACAAATGTCAGGAGAATCTCAGGTTTGTTGAAGTCACATTGTCAGAAGTACCAACTGCCTGTGCCCTTTGCTTGCCTTGAACTATTATCTTGTGTAGGTGTCATACAACTACATCGTGCAGGATGTTTAAATGATGGTCTGTGTTGAGACACTGCTGCACAGTGCTGGATCATCACCTTGTCATGAACCTTGGCAAGACTACATCAGTCTCAGTAGGAAAAGGTAATGTCAGAGTCTGCCAGATTTGGACAGTTTGAGCATGGGAACAGTCAAGGTGCATTTCAGTGGTCCTTATTAAGGGTACTTTGCTTACTGGGTACTGAATTTTTAAAGTGTAACCTGTGGCAATGAGGAGAATAAGTTGAGAAGAAGTTTAATGACACAATAGGATACCCATCTTGGTTCAGGAAACCTCTGTTTTGATTTTGTTTGGATCTTGTCAGGGGGGGCGTGCGTCTGGTCTCCTGTAGTCATCCTCATGTGATTTTAAATACATTTTAAACAGAGGAAGGATTTTAAACAACCCTTCTTAAACCTAGGCGTGACACAGAGTCCAGGCTGCCCTAGGCCTCAGCATTGCCACAAGGTACCTGCAGTTATCACATACTGACCAAGTTGTTCACCATTCTAGAGAGTAGAGCAGCACTAAGAGATAGCTGCCAAGAACCCCCCTAACATCCTAACATCCTGCTCACCTTCAGCAGCTCTTGTTCCACCTCATCATTGACCAGGTCCGGGGGTTGCCTCCTCTCCCGACACTGCAGGTTATCAATGGCAATGGCATAGGGCACTGCGGTGGCATCGAGCGCCCTTTCCAGCCGCAGCTTCTGGGCTGCCAGGAGGCCTGTCTCAGCATCCAGGTCCTCAATCTGCCTCTGGAGCTCAGACTTCCAGAAGTGTATGTCCTGCAGGCGCTGGCCCAGGGCGGCTGTGGAGTTCTGCTGGGCACGCTGAGCAGTGCCAGCGGCATGGGCAGACAGCTCCTTGGACTCGGCCCGGCTGCACTCGCCCCGCTCGCAGCCGGTGAAGGCCTTGTTGTACAGATCAGAGTTTCTCTGCTGCCACTCGTGGGTCAGATACTTGGCAGTACGGAAGCCGGACGTGGTCAGGCCGCTGGAGGAGTCGGGCCCCGTGTTCAGCGCCACCTCACACACCTTCCTGGGTAGCTCGGCGACGGGCACAGCCTGCGGCGCTGGCTCCTTGGTCAGCAGCGCCTTGGCCTGCGCCATGGCACCGGCGCCTCCCGCAGGGCCAGGCCCCGCACCCTGCTGGGCCGCACTGCGTCCTGCCGTCGCCGTGGCAACAGCGGCAGCCAATGAGGAGGCGGGTCCTCCCCCCCGCTGCGAAGGGAAACCCGAGGCGGTGACGGGAAACATCCCGCCCCCCCGGTAGCGCACGGTGCTATCCACCAATCAGAGCGCAGATCCGCCCCGAGGGCGCGTCTCATAAGGGCAAGCCGGATGTCCAATCGGGAGGCAGCGGGGGCACAGTGGCGGTAGTGGAGGTGTCATGGCGGCGTCATGGTGGGCTCTGGTGCGAAGTGCCGCCGTCTTCACGGCCTGGGGCGGGAGGTTTCCCCGTCGCAGGCCTTGGAGCGTGTCACAGTGTTTATAATCCGCGTGTGCGACCGTGTTGGTGAGAACAAAGGTACGCTGAAGTCTCCACGTTGCGTTCTGGCTTCCCTTTGTGCTGAGGAACTTTTCGTTTCCAGCCGCCGCGTGAGCGCAGTAACGCTTCATGGTGTTGGTTTGGGAAATGGAAGAGGACCCTGGCAGGGTTTCAGCCAGGTTCCCGCCCAGTAAGCTCTGGAGGTGAGGAGGAGGTGCTGCACGCCCCTCTGGGGTGGTCTAGGTAGCTCTCGAGTGGGGGGGCAAGGCCTGTGGAGGGGCTTGCGGCATCCCCTGGGCTTAGGGCCTTCAGTTTAATACATTTTCGCACCTCCTTCCATTTTTATACCAAAATGTTCATCCTTAAGGCAATTTGTATGACTCCGGCCTTGTCATAGGTCGGGCGCATGTGAAATTCAGTTCCTGTGGCATCGCCTGGTGAATTTTCACGTGGGAAATGTAGTTTGTGCTTGAATTACATTAAGTCTGGGGGGATGCCATCAATGAGCAGCAATAAAGGAAATTGGAGGGTTCGAGGCAGAGCTATCCCTTCAGAGCTCTTGGAGGAAGGAGGGAAGGTGTTGAAGAGCACGGTGACAATAGGGGGCACTCTCGTCCTTGCACTGCGACAGATCCTTTCTCTTCAATGTCGTTTCATTGTAGAAAATGGGAAGAAAAAGCCATGTGCGCAGGAGCTTGCTCGGTGTCATCCCGGCTGATCGGCTGCTGGCGGAGAGCAGTGTCTGAGCTGCATCGAGGTGAGCACAGCAGGTAACGGCGTGGAGAAATGACTCCCTGCCTGCTGAGAGGTGCTGCTCGCACCACACAAACTTATGCAGGGGACACTTTGCTTTATTAGAGTTTGCTCTAAATCCACAGTAAGTCAGTGGTCAATTTTCCAGCGGGGTCTTGCACTCTTTAGGCAAGATCAAGTGCTTGATGGAGGGCTTGCATTGGAAAGATGCGTTGTGCATGGGCTGCAAGCAGCTGCCCACCAACCCTGTGCTGCAGCTGGCAGCACATGTCCAGCAAAGGCTATTTTCTGTAGGGACAGTGTTGAAAAAGGAGCTTCAATCCCAGCAGAGATAAGAAATCCTTCACCTTCCCTTTTGCAAATATTATAATTGGCCCTCCGCTTAAATAGCAGCAGTAGATGATACTCTTTGCATTGGGAAGTCTCAGAAATGACACGCTTTGCTTTCCCTTCACACCTCATTTATCTCCTTTTTCTTGCATTTTCCCACTAACTGTAACTGTCCTGTCTGTTCCTTTCCTTATGTTACCCCCAGCCTGTACTTTTCTTTCCTCTGCTTGTGGGCTTCTCTGCATGATGATCTATGCAAATTTTGCAGTTTTAAAGTACAGTAAGGAAAAACCCTGCTGAGCTATTCAGAGTGAAAGTCCTTGGTATGGAAAATACATTTTTTCAAAATAAGGGCAGCAGTGATTTGCTATTAAGCAGCATTTTTCTCTGAAGGTTTCAAAAGAGCTTTTATTAGCAGCATCTTATCACAGCTCATTCAGTGTCACCCAGGCAGTTCTGAAGGTGGGTCAGTGGCTAAGGCTGCAAACTTAGCTGAGTTCTGGGCCCTAAATGTGACTGCTAAAGTACCATCTTTTCCAACAGGGAAACACTGCACAAAAACCATGTATAGTCTTTCTTATCTGGAGCAAGGATTACTTCAGAGAGCAGTTTTGGGGTCCCAACTGGTCAATATTTCCAAGGACCAGACAGATGTTTTCATCAGGCTATGTTTTGTATGGGTTTTTTTGTATCAGGCTAAGCATGCTTTTGAGTGTTCACAGACACATTGTGTCCTAACAGGCTGCATATCACATTCTTGCAAGAAATAAAAGCAAAACCTACTGGCACCTGGCAGATTGAGGAGTTCCCTTCATTATCCAGGGCAGACCCAGGGCCCCTGTGTTTCAAAGCCATTCTGCCAGTTGAGTGATTTAATATGCCTCTGTAACATATAAATTATTAACAGCTATTCAAAATGTTCCAAGAGCAGAAGATGACAAAACATACTGGAAGAACAGAACAGAATTTTTTTCTAGCTCAAATCTTTTGACATGTAGTAGATTAATCTTAATCTTGGCTAGAATCCTTTTACAGGAAACTTGTTCCCCTTCTTACAGCAAATGCGCCTATTTATGTCAGGTGCCTTGTGAGCTCTTTGGCTTGCTGTTGTTGCTGCTTCATTTTGTTTCCTTACTTTATTTTGTTTGATTTTTTTTAAATTAGCATAAGTGGCTAAAGCAGCGTTGTCACCTGGATCCAATCTCCTTGTTGCAGTTAAATCATTCCATGCTGCTGTCTGTAGGACAGACTGCAGACTGCTCAGTGGACTAGTATGGGTCTTGCACATGGAGAAGGGAAAGGTTTCCTTTCACACACCAGTAGCTGGGATGTTTGCGTCTTGTCCATAGCACAGAAGTACTGGAAACCCTTTCTTTAAAGAAGGTCTGGGTCCTTTAATGTGTTCCTTCTCTTCATAAAGGCAATCAAAAGCTTGAAAATGTGACCTGCTTCTATTCAAATATTGCTCTAAGCAGAGGCCAATGCATGATGGAGTGTTCTGAAAATGTGCTTTTCAAGCTGTGCTGATGCTTTGGGGGTTGCCTATGGGGACCTGCTGAAGGGAGGCAGCCAACACCAACTTACTTTGTTGTCCTAAGCTGAACAAAACCTGAACACAGCACAGCTCTATCATGGCTGTTTTCTTGGAATTAATAAACATAATGACGAATTAAATACTGTCCCATCAGCAGAGAAATCAGAAACAAGATCAACAAAACCACCTGACATAGATTTTCCTGGAAGAAAGGGCTTTGTTTTCATGTTTAATGTAGGGAAGCCTTGTTAGGGGAAATCACATCATAAACCTTCTATAGTTGGCCAGGTATAAAGAGATATATTGCAAACAGGTCTGACTGATCACCAGGCATGAATATAATTTACTCTTCTTCCCCTCCCCACTCTCTCTCCCATTTTCCACTGAGAAAAATATCTGGATGTGCTGCTGTCAGGGAGATGTGGTGCCTCTGCATCAAAAACAGTGCAGTCACTTTTCATATCTGTTGTGAAGTGCCAAAAGATGTTTCCTCTCTCTCAGCTAACAGAGTGGGGTGGGCAAAGAGAGCTGAACCACTTTCCTGGGCTGGCTGCTAGTCTTTGAAGTGCTCCCTGCTAACAAATAACCAGTCATGCACAAAGGCAAGCGATCAGTCACACAGGAAATACCATCTAGCATTTAACCATCATTCAGCATTTTGCAATAAGGGGAAAAAAAATATAGCTGAAACAGAGTGATAGTACATTAAAGCTTCTGTGGTACATTAGAGGGGCATTGGCCTGAGCTGCCCATTCTCAGGCCAGACTTGCTTACAAAATTGATCTCCCATTTTTGTTCACAGTGGACATTGTCATGATGAATTGACTGTGAGGCAGCCAGGGGTTGCTTTCACTGCATTTCAGATCCCAGACCCCAGTCCTGCAGTTTGGACTACTCCCATCGCTTAAAGATTCACACCAACAACCCCAGGTGGTGCAGTGTTTGACAGTGGAAGAACCACTGCAGCTAAGGATCCTGATTTGCTTTTCTTACTCCGTGTATCAGGCAGATTCTCACAAAATTTATGTCATTTTTGTCATATTTGCTGCTGTTTGAGTGACTCAGTTTCTCGAGTCATTTAATAGCCCTTGAGAGGGTCTGCCTTTCTGAAATGCAGCTTCTAACCCAGACTCTTACTAAGGTGAGCTTGCTAGCAAAGGCTGGCTGGGTCTGACCCGTTTCAGGCCCAGAAACTAGATGCAGAACTCTGATCTCATAGCTTTCATATCCTCTCTTGGCTCATGTGCATGCAACACCTGATCTCCATGTCCCCAATGACCAGGACAGGAAATCTTGGGCTTAAACTGGGTATTGACAAGGAGAGCTGTGTCATTCCCAGCAAGAAGGGCTGGGGTGGAGAGGGAGGATGAGAGATGAACCCTGGCTTACCCAAGCCATGTAGCATTGCAAGGAAAAGCCTGTGAATATCATGGGCTGGAAGTGCTGCTCCAGAAATGTTCTCTGCTTGAAAATGAAGGCCAAATTCTTCTCATGGCAACCCACTTGTCAGAAGTTGGCTCAGTGTTCCTCTTGGTGGAACACTGATTTTTTGTTTTTTTCTTTATTTAATGTAGCATCATTATACTATTTCTCTGCTGGCTGCATACGCTGGTGATGAGTGCCTTAGCAAGGTGATAGATAGAAAACACAGTGCATTCAGCTAGATGATAAATAGGGAGGAAATGTGGTGTATTAGTTCAGAGGAGACAAAATACAGTCAATTATTTTACATAAGGCAGTGTCTGGTACTCCCAGTCCCTGCCTGAGAGCAACAGAATACATCAATAAAAACACTGAGGAGTTCAGAAGTGAGATTTTTGTTTTAATACTGACATATGGCAAAGTGTTACATTTCAGCTGAAGAAATAAACATAAGCTAGCCTCAGAATCTCTACTGTTCAGCAAAAGATGTAAGACCAAAGGTTATCTTAGAACATAGGTTTTGTCTTTACATTGTCTCATATCACTGAAATTAGAAGTGTCTCCACTTTTGAATCTCATCACCCCTTCCTAAAATTCAGTAGATTCAGATAACATGAATTATCTGTAGCAGCAGTAGCATTTCTTTTTTAAAAGTAGCTATTTCACAGACAAAACAAAGCATAAATTGAGCTGTTCCAGCATGGATGAAAACACCATTTAAAGCTTCACTTCCCTGCCTTGGATCTCAGAGGCAGACTGTGTTTGATTAGATCCTTCCAGCGAGTGCGATCAGGTTGAGTGACAGCTCTCTATGCCAGATACGCGCTCTGTTTATTTGCATTTTCCACCAGCTCTGGGAGTTTGCACTTTATCCTTCCTGAAATCTATCTAGATAGGGAAGCATTACAGAAATCATTTTAATTATAGTGCAGGGACTGAAGCTTTTCAGAAGTTCAGTGTCTTTGTACCGACAGGTTTGATTAAAACCAGACATGGGTAAAGAGACCTAAGTCAGATGGAGAGCAGCGAGTACTGGGCAAAAGGGAGAGGGACAGCAAGTAGAGATGTGTCATCTCTGCAACCCCCTCAAGTGTCTATCTTCCTAGTGGTGATAAGCCAGGACTGTGCAACAATGAGAAAAGTGAGGACACTCCTGCTTACAGCACAGCAGGGATGTCAAGCTGATAATGCACATCGTAGTGGCACTTTGGAGGTTGAGAATAATTAGCTAAAATCCAGGCTTCTCTCCTCTCCAACCAATGTTGGTACAAAGATGGGCTGTGTTTTGGTGAGGAGCTGCCTGCTGTGTGCTGCCAGGCAGAAGGACTGAAAGCAGGAGCTGGTGAGTGCCTGGTCAGGGTCTGGCTTGGCAATGCAAGCACTGAGCTGCTGAAACAAGCCCGATACTGGCCTTGCCCAGTACTGCCAGGCCTCTTGTGCTGCTGGCAGCTCCTGTGTAGGCACAGGCAGAAATAGCACTTGCATTGTTTGTGAAGAGAAAGCAGTCTGGTTGCTCAGACCTTTGATGGAATAAACTGGTTTAGTTCCAGTGGGTAAATGAAATTACACTGGCATTTACCAGCAAAATCTCCATCTCATGCTTATAGCAAGACAGGATATTCTCTCTTTAAAACCTTCTCAGCTTTTGACTTTCAAATTCCACATAGCTGTTTTCTTTTGATACACTTTTGTCTTATTAGATGCCCTTATGCACATCCAAACATCTTGATGGCTGGTTTTGTAGCATGCCTTCATCCCAAATCAAACATCAGCATGGGAGTGGCGGGTTTGCTGGTGGAGCACCGCACTGAATCATGATGAAGTCTTTTGAGTTTGTTGAGTCTCCTTCACCGAATTGCCCTCCCATTTGAAGGGTATCAGTACTCTGTCTCCTGGACCTGCTTGAGCAATACATTTTGAACTAAAGGTACTTGAATTCTTCGGTTTTAAACTAAAAATGCTTGAACTAAACACACATTTAGTTTTGCTTTCCAGCAGTTGCTGTCAGTCAGGGATGTTTGTCCTGTGATTCTTCAAAACTGAAACCCATGTGTGGCTGCACCAAGCTCTTCTGCTTAGAAAGCAAGTCTTGGACTGTCTTTTTGGTGTTTTCTTTTTCACTTTTCCTAATTTATTCTGCTTAAAGGAGCCACGTGTTAATAATCAGCCAGTGCACTGCTGACCTTATGGAGTTCAGCAGCCATCTGTTTAAAACAGAGATGTAAAGAATTTCCAGAGAAGCCTTTTATTATTCTTTCGGTTCAAGAGAATAACAGGACTCCTCAGCATGGGCAGCAGCTTTACAGCACTAATAAATTCCACAGCTAAGAGGCAAACAATCAGTTTATCACCCAAGGACACTGCTTTCTCTGCGTGGAGCCCAGAGGTTTGCTGTGGTTTGGAACATGGGCCATCCGTTTCAGTAAGCTTTGTTTTCCCAGCTTTTTCCAACTTTATAGTTGAAAAACAGTCTCCCCTTCAGCTTCATTCTCTTTCTGCAGCCAAAATGTACATCTGCAGGCAGAGCAGAAAGCAGAGATTTTGTTTGAACAAGCTCAGGCCTGTTGAGAGTTCTGTCTGGTACAAACCAGGGCCTTGATCCTGCACTGAGATATCCTGGGAAGATCCTTGTTTTGGCACGGAGCCCCATCACAACCATCCACCCTCCTTATGAGCTCCACGCAGCCAGGCAGTGCCTGAGATGTATGATGGATGGCTAGAGTCTATCAACAGCATGGGGGACATTGGTATAAATTCTACATAAATAATTGCATAAATTAGGAGATGGCTTTGTTTTTTAGCTAAACAATTTCCCTCTTGGGTCTTTCTGTATTTCCTTCAGAGTCCCATCAAATATGAGTGTGGTCATCTCCTCGACTGTTCCATAGTGTGATCCTCACAGGCTCCAACAGTAAAACAATGATAGGTAAAACAGTCAAGATATTAAATTGCAGATCCATAAAGCATATAAAAGGCTGAGCCTGAAGGTCTTTGCAAATGCAAGTAGAAAAACGTTTCATTTCCATTTTATGCTTGAGCTGAGGTTGCACTCTGTGCTCTTCACGTTATCTTCAGACTGGGGGATGAAGAACTAAGTCTTCAAAAGCAGTGAGTTGGGTAGGTGGGAATTTCAGCACATAATAGTCTTGAGAAGGATTTTCCATTGCAGGGCTGAGTATTTCTCCTGAAAAGCACTCCCAAAGCAGTCTCTGCTCCCACCAGGGCAAACCAGTCCATGTCCCAGGCAAACAAGTGTATGTCCTGGGCTTTCCAAGCACCCTCAACTCCTGTGTAGGCAGCGAGGCTGTGTTAAGGCATGGGAGGGTCATCAAGGAAAGTGATGAAAGTTTCAGGTTGGACTTTTGGAGGTTTTAAGTTCTGAAGGTGGAGAGTGCACATAGTGGGGCAGGGCTCAAGCCAAATTTCGTTACTGGAGGCAGAATCACTCTTGCTGCAGGTAGTTTCTATGGGCTTGTGTCTTGGGGATCTGCTGTCGGAGTCTGGACATGTTGCTGCTTTCCATATCTCTGGTAGAGCTAATCAAAAGCACTGTGTGGTCTGAGAATTTCACTTTATGTCAGGGAATTAGCAAGAGAGAAAGCTGGTAATCTGAAGCGTGCAAGTTCTCACCTCCTGCAGCACCTTGCAGTGAGTCCCTGGGAAATGGCTTTTGCTGAGCTGCCACACTTTGCTGAGATGTTATTTCTTATCAGAAATGTTCAGTGCTTGAAGTCTGTGGGAAGGGGCAGCTCTGAGCAGGGGGGAGCTGAGCAAGGGGACAGCAAGCGAGCCCTTGGGGTCACACAGAAGCACGACTCAGGCCATAGTGGCCAGGACACAGTGGGGAAAATATCTGCACAAATAATCTCTGTTTCAGGTTATGGCCAGTGCTTTTGCCAGAAATCAAGGCTCAGACTAACAGAACAGTGACCCTGCACAGTTCAACCATTCCAACTCTTTACTTTTATTCTACTTTCCTGAAAATAATGTTGAAGGCCCATTAAATTTCCAAGTGTGGAGGATGATTCCCTCAAGTGTTCTCAGGAGAACCAGGTCCAGGCAGAGAGATGAGTAATGGGGAATTAGAAATTAAAAGCCTGAATGTGAATGTGAAGAGGGGTCTGAAAGTCATTTTCTCAAATACATAGACAAAAATCCACAAACCAGATTTCCTTTTAGGAAGCTGAGAATTACTGACCTATTCCTGCAGAGTACATTTCACTTACTAGGAGGTATTAAGTATGAAAATTCACAGGGATAGGGCACAACTTTCAGAGTCACTAAGTGGAATAGCTGTAATAAAATGACATTTATATCAGGGTTTTGACTGGTCAGCACTAAAAGCTTGCTTTCCCCCCTCTTTTGTGGGTGGCTTGATTGTACTTGGGTGGCCAGGCTCCAGCTCCATCAGACCATTGTCTGGCAGGTGAGAAGGTTCAATACACAGTTAAAATGGATGAGTGGTTTGGGTTTAAGGACAACAACTTAAAATTTCTGGAGTGTGTTTCTCTTCTAAGATTCTTTTTTCAGCCATTGAGTTTATGTCCATAAACTGCAAGGAAAATGGAAAAGGAATGTCCTTGTCTAGAAGGAACTTTCTCAACTGTGTAACTGAGCAGTATTCATAATACATCTCACTCTCTTCTTCTTATTAGCAAATTTGACATTAACAGATCTTCTGCAAAGCTATTACTCGTTGGTAAATATTTACACAGCAGCATCAGGCCATCAGCTTATTTCTTTTCTTATGAATCATTCCTTCATAATAACTTTCTCTTATTGTTCTTGAAGTCTGATCCGTCTCTTGAATTACCAACACTTGTCTCTGCTCCCTCATTCCTGGCTAACGCCAGCAGCTGACTTTCTGAAATGTTGTTTTGGGTGATAAAACGTTGGTTCTAGAAGCCCTGAATGCAGGAGACATTGAACATTTTCCATAACTTCCAGATACTTAGGACAAAACATTAATAATATCAGATTCCCCGAGGAAAGAGCAAACAAAAGTGATGTGTTTCCAGACCAGCTTATTCTCTCAGATGCTTTAAAGTAGGGGCAATGAGAAGTGAAGTTATTCAGCTAATGCCTGGTCCAAAGTAACTGTAATTCTTTGGAGGAATGTGGGTGTATCTCTGCTGGGAAAGTGAAAATTAAAGACGAGTACATTGGGTTCAGCAAAGCTCAAGGTCTCTTTTCAAACCACAAGTCATGCGTGTATGAGCTAACCCAGAATGATGCTATTTGTCTGTCTCTGTCTGCTAATGACACCCAGTCAGCCTGGTCTTGAGTTGGCTCTGCAGCTTGGAAAGCTACTGTAGGTGGCAGAGGAGAAGGACTGAATCTTGGATGCTCTGGGGAGGCCAGTGTGCTCCTTTAGGATGTACAAAGCCATCTGGATGGCACTGGGCTATGTTCCCAGTGGGAACGGTGAGAGGCAAGACCGCCTTGATACCAAGCCTGTCTCTGTAATTCACTGGCCCTACATATTCCCCAGAATATATCTTATTTATCATACCTGGCTCATTTCCTAGACTGAGTCCAAAACTGCTTCTGATCTTGACTGCTGAAGTATGCGTGTAAATACAGTATGCTGTACGCCCTCCAAGAGCAGTCCCCAGCGAGTCCACTGTGGTTATCCCAGACAACAGCCTGATATTAAGATTCCCCATTATCAATGATTTGACTTTTAGAAAGCTGTCTACATAAACAAAGCCTATTTAGCTTGTGATTGTGCCCTGGAGAGTGTCCTACAATCACTTTCATTTCCCCTTTTGCCTTCAAAGGAAAGAGTCTGTCCTAGGAATGAGCAGAGACCGAGAGCCATGGCTTGGATCCGGTCCCAGCCAAGTTACTGCATTGCTGTGTGGCCCTGGCCATGGTGGGGCTGTTTTGTTTTTGACTTCATTCAACTAAATAATGAATATTCTGTCTGGAAATGGTTGAGAGAGACTCTTGTCCCTGCAGAAAACTGCACCAGAACAACTCTTTTAAGTGTTAATGCAAGGGAAATGAAAATGTAATTGAGAACAAAACAGAAAAAACCTTTAAGTGCTTAAGAAAAGGTTGTACATGATTTTGAGATCTTTGCTTATTGATAAAGGGCACTGATATTTTTAGGCAACCATCCATAAGGTAAATTATGCTTCTTTTCTCTTCGTTCTGTGAAAATTACATTTGCTCAGCACCTTCCATGCAAATTGTTGCTTCCAAACTGTGCAAAGATTTAAGTGAAAAAGCATCCTGGTAGAAAAGTTTTCTCTCTTCTTAAGTAGATCAATCTCTCCCGTTACTTTAGAGTACATAGGTGATATCTTAAAATGTTTGTATCCCTTGTAACACTAAAGGCTTTTTCTCTGAATGAAGAGCATCTTCTGCCCTGCCAGGTCCATGTCCCGGAGTCCATTCATTTGCTGTTTTGACCAGCAGCAGCTCTCTGAGGCATCTTCACTCTTTCGGCAGAGATGAGCTTCTGGCCAGAGTGTTGTAAGATTCAGGTGAGTGGACATGTGCCAAATGAGCACTTTTCCCTGGGCCATAACTGTACACAAGGACCCATTTTGTGGCAAGAGGCTTTGGCAGATATTCCTCTCATTAGCAGTGAATTTGCTCTTTCTCTTTAGTCAGATTTGTTTAATCTTCTTAATATTGCTTTTGTAATGGGCTGAGCAATGTAATGGACATCCATGGGGAATATGCTGTCTCACATGTGTCCCCTCCATTTCCAAACCTGGGATGTGATGCTGCCCGCCTCCCAGTGGGTGGCCTGCTTTGCCTCAGTCTTCACACCAGTGTCTCTTCAGGAAACCCTAGTTACTTGTACAGTCCCATTTATTCCTCTCCTAAGGCAAGAGGAAGATTTTGGAGCTGTCAGCTTGTTTGTAGGGCTCTCACAGAGAAAAGAGATTTCCTGCTTCATGTCTTCTTCGGATCACATGCAGTTATCATCTTCAGGCAGTGCCACTTTCCCTCATCAGCTCTTAACACTCATGTTTTCCAACACCTGAAGTCACAGAAAGCTTTCTGCATGACAGACTTGCCAAACTGGATGCTGTTCCTGGCTTTAAGCTGCTCTGAAATGAGTGAAGTAGAACTGAGAGTCTGGAGACAGCCCCCGATGCTTGGGCATACCCTGTTCTGTAAAGACAGTGTGCTCTTAGGGCTTGTTTACATGGGAAGATTAACCTGGACTAACTGAAGGCTGGAGTTTCAAGTGGATTCTTTCAGCTGCATTTGCTGCATCTATGTGGACAGAATAACAGAGACATTTCCTTGGTTTGTTGTGATTTGTTGCCAAAATGCATTAAGATAAACCAAATTAAGTCTGCTTGTGTTCCAAAGAAATCTTTGATATATGCTCATTCATTTTAAGAGTTCTTAGATTAATTTTGAAGAAAATGGCCCTGTGTAGACACATCAACATTCCTAATAATATTTGGCTGAAATGCAGGATAATAGCCAAGTCCATGCTCAAATAAAAGGGATGAATCATCTCTAAATCACATGTTACAATGTAATAGGATAAAGGACAATTGTTTTGCTTTAGAGAAGCTGCCATGCACAGAGCAGGGTCATTGCAGCCTCTGATGCAAGAGCAGAACAAGTCTGGGGATCATCCCTTGTGCATCTACGGAGGGTAATGTACCTGCTTTCCACAGCATGCGTAGCCATATCTCTACCAGCTATCCTGAGGATGCTCCCCTGCAAATGCAACAGTGGCAACATTTGATTCATTAGGATTTGTCTCTTGGGACTCCAAGAGTGAGCACAGGATTGAATCAGGCCTGATCCAAGGACACGTGAGGGCGTCCTGTCATCCACTGGACTGTAAGGTGTCCAGGTCCTGCTGCTGGGCTGCAGTCTGTGTCCTGCATCACAGTTTTCACACACACACGCACACAGAGCTCTAGGGAGTGTGAGCACTCCATGGAAGCCAAAAAATTGCTTCGTATTTGCATTAGAATATCCCAGAATAGGAGGTGATTCCCTCTGCTATCAAAAAAATTAAAGACCAGAATGCCTACCCATTACTTAAACACACAGACGCCCATTTTCACAGCCTTCATCTCCATGCCCCTGGAAAAACCATTCGTTGGAAATTGCAGTAATTGTTTTATTCTCTTTGATCTCCACTAATAAAGCTCTGGACTATCACTCAGCAGGAGCTGTTTCTCTTAGTTAGGATCTTTCCAACAGTACTTACATTAGGAAGGCTCTGGGGAAATTTCAGTAAATGCACTTGAGAAGAGCTCTGCAAAACTGCTTAGACTTTACTGCAAAAAATATTTCCCCACATTTGCTCAGAACACTTCTCAGCTTGTTTGTTTTTCTTTTTATTGCAGTTGTTGGACTGAGGTGATACCTGGAGAAAAGAGTTGGGACTCCTTGTCAAGAGATTTTAGAGCAGCTGGAGAACAGAGCAAAAGGTTTCTGAATCCCAGACAAGCCACTGTAGAAAGCATGCTTGAGAGTAAGTGTCTTGCTGTTAACATTTTACTTTCCAAGTAAAATCTAAGGAAGAAGGAGGGGTGATGGATCTTCCAGCCCCTTGAAGTGTCTGAAGTGCAGCATCTTGGGTCTCCAGCCCCTTGGACAGCAAGTGGCTTGTTTAGGGATTTGGGAAGTTAGATTTAGTTTCTAGTCCTCAGGCTTTAAACAGCACAGCCAGAGCTGAAGCTCAGCTCAGCAGGTCAGTCCAGCAAGCCAAATACCAGCCCATGTCCAGCACACACAGGAGTAACCATCATGTTGTGCATGGACAAGTTCTCACATATGGCTCTTAGTGAGCTACAACACAGCTCAGCTGCAGACAACTTCTGTTGAGCTGACAAATGTATAAGTGGTTGTAAGAAGGTGCAAAGAGAAAGTCAAATTTCAGAGCCACTGGGCACAGATGGAAGAAACCTGACCCTTTGAAAGCAATTCTGCATTTCAGACAAAGCAACCAGTGAGTTCCCCAACCTGTGGCATCTTTTAGCCACTTGCTATTGTAAGATGAAGGTGGCGGTGGCCTTCACACCAACTCATAAGGGTTCAAAGCACATCCATGTATCTGCCTGTTGCATAACTGGCAATTGAAAGCAAGAGTAACTGCACCAGCTGGTCTCTTTTCTTCCTTTTTCCCCTCCAGCTAGAAGCTGTAAAAGCTCAAAAGACCAACTGTACAGCCTTAAAGTCATATTTACTGTCTGGCATCCTGCCACAGGCGATGGGAATACTGTTGTATAGATGTTGCTGTCTGACTGCTGCTTTATACTTAATGATCTCATGGATGTGCAGAGGGAAGGAATATAATCCCCAGTGAAGACAGGGGGCAGGGTTGGTAAGGAATAAAAAGCCTGTCCCTGTAAACTGGTTTTGATCTTTCTAGGGGCTGCAAATGAAGAACAGTAATTAAAGCTTAACTGGAAGAGATCAGAAAGCTTTTAAAATTAATAAAACTCATAAGAGACATCAAGGATGATCATATGTAAAGACTCTTCAGGCTGCAGTGTCAGTCAGCACCCGCAGCGAGTGTCTGCTCTCTCTGTGTAGGTGTGCTGGGGTCCAAGTGGGAGCAGGAGCTGTGTTCACAGCTATGTTGTGGATGGCACCTTCCTCATCTCCTGCTGGGTTTTCCCTGCTGTGTGGTCCAGTTGTTTGGACCGCACCAGGATTATACCATATTTACTCTGCTTTGCCAGTCTTTACCTACAGGGATGCCATCAGGTATTGCACAGGAGCCTTAATCCTAGCTCAGTCCTTCACTTGGAGCTTGCATTTTATTTTCCACGACTCAGTTATTTAATGATGAGACCATCAGCACTTGACATGCCACCAGCAGCTGATGCTCCATGTGAGGAGCCTCAAGCTGTATCACTCTTGCCTGTTCTTTAAAAGTGAAGGACACCCTGTGTATTATTTGTAAAGATAATAGCTTAACTGTTCAGTTTGGCATTTTAATTTAGCTGTTGTCCTTTTATACATCCTTTTTATACCAGGAAAGAGGCAGACAGACTGGCCACTACCTCGGAGACTTTGAAAGTAATCATTTTACAGCAGTATTGCTCCATGATGGTTGTATTTTCCATAGGAAATAAACGTTTTTGGCCTGGTCCTGAGGAGAATGCAATGCTCACACCAGAACAGCTGCTGCCAGGAGCACCATCTCAGAGGAGAACACAGAGACCATCACGGCTACAAGCATCTGAAAGGTCTGTGCCAAATGTTTGTGTTGTACGTGTTCTTTATCCCACTGTTTGAAGGACTGTGAAACACAAAAATGGCTGATGTGTATGGGCACCATGAGTATGGCTCCTGAAGGGAGTGAGCAAAAGGTTCACCATGGGCATCATAGAACTTGCCCAGGAGGAAGACATCTTCCTGCAATGCTCCAATGTCTGCTTGGGGCACTGCCGTGTGTGGAGCAAAGTTCTAGGTTGGCATTTCTTTCCAGTTCAAAGAAGTCTTAGACAGAATTAGTGCACTTTTCTCAGCTCTGGATGTGATCTTCGGGAGAGTGGAGAGAGGGAGATATTCCACCTCTTCCCTTTTAACCACCTGGATGCCAGTGAGGGCTTAAATTCCTGGGTAAAGTGATGTGCAAGGAAAAGGGAGCAGCCACTACCTCTGGCTGTGTTCCATCAAGAGAGGAGGATGGGGAAGGAGAGGATGTTTCAGTCCTTGACTTCCATTTATTCCAGCACTAAAAGAAAATGAATTTTTAAATCCTGATGCTGAAGCACCTATTAAAAAGAGCGCTAACCTATAGCAGGAGAGTGTCTGGGAGGGAGGGCTTTTTGGCTTAACCCAGCTGATTTTTTTAAACTTATTTTTTACAGCAAATGAACTCTCACTGCCTTTCTTTAAAGGTCACCTCTCTTTTTTTATAACTACTATGCTGGGAAAATGCTTTTAAGTTTCATCTACTTTGTGTGTGTGTTTTCTAAGCCCTGGGTTTGTTTCCTATTGGAAAATGGTCTTGGATCATCTCTGAGATGGAAATTTTATTTTATTTATCAGGTGCATGAGAGAAAGAAGGGAGGTTTTTAACTCTTTAGGCTCTTTTTTACTGGATGCTCAGCTCCATGTCTCAAACCATGAACCACATCCTACCTGCTGCACTTTTTCTTCCCCCTTTGCCAGCATCTCTTCAGAGGCCTTGAAGCTCCTGTCTCCTGTCTCATCTCCTTGTGGTTCTGCCTTGATGCACAGTAGGGGTTAAATGGGTTCTCTCAATTCTTAGCTTGATTGCTAGGGAGCTGTTATTTTCTCCTCTTGGCACTGGCACCAGCTCCAGAAGGAGAGGCTGTTTTTCTTGCAGCACCCTCCATGGTTGGTGAGGTGTGGAGTTATCCAGGAGACACAGACATTTTCACATCCTGTGCTCCTGACTGTCATCAGTTGATAGCCTATGGATGTTCACAGGCAAAGTAAAGCTTTCAAAACATTTATAACAAACCCAAAATGTTATTACATCCTTCTATACCTCAATATCTCTCTTTAG